AGGATAGAAATATTTTATATTTTAGCTCATACAAGACAGTTTATTGAAATAGGATGGAAATATTATATATTTTAGCTCATACAACACAGTCTACTGAAATAGGATGGAAATATTTTATATTATAGCTCATACAACACAGTTTATTGAAATAGGATGGAAATATTTTATATTTTAGCTCATACAACACAGTTTATTGAAATAGGATGGAAATATTTTATATTTTAGCTCATACAACACAGTTTATTGAAATAGGATGGAAATATTTTATATTTTAGCTTATACAAGACAGTTTACTGAAAAAGGATGGAAATATTTTATATTATAGCTCATACAACACAGTTTACTGAAAAAGGATGGAAATATTTTATATTATAGGTCATACAAGACAGTTTACTGAAATAGGATGGAAATATTTTATATTTTAGCACATACAACACAGTTTACTGAAATAGGATGGAAATATTTTATATTATAGCTCATACAAGACAGTTTACTGAAATAGGATGGAAATATTTTATATTATAGCTCATACAACACAGTTTACTGAAATAGGATGGAAATATTTTATATTATAGCTCATACAACACAGTTTACTGAAATAGGATAGAAATATTTTAAATTTTAGCTCATACAAGACAGTTTACTGAAATAGGATGGAAATATTATATATTATAGCTCATACAACACAGTTTACTGAAATAGGATGGAAATATTTTATATTATAGCTCATACAACACAGTTTACTGAAATAGGATGGAAATATTTTATATTATAGCTCATACAACCCAGTTTACTGAAATAGAATAGAAATATTTTAAATTTTAGCTCAGTTTCAGTTTACTGAAATAGGATAGAAATATTTTAAATTTTAGCTCATACGACACAGTTTACTGAAATAGGATGGAAATATTTTATATTATAGCTAATACAACACAGTTTACTGAAATAGGATGGAAATATATATTATAGCTCATACGACACAGTTTACTGAAATAGGATGGAAATGTTATATATTATAGCTCATACGACACAGTTTACTGAAATAGGATGGAAATATTATATATTATAGCTAAGACAGTTTACTGAAATAGGATGGAAATATTATATATTTTAGCTCATACAACACAGTTTACTGAAATAGGATGGAAATATTTTATATCATAGCTCATACAAGACAGTTTACTGAAATAGGATGGAAATATTTTATATTATAGCTCATACAACACAGTTTACTGAATTAGGATGGAAATATTTTATATTTTAGCTCATACAACACAGTTTACTGAAATAGGATGGAAATATTTTATATTTTAGCTCATACAAGACAGTTTACTGAAATAGGATGGAAATATTTTATATTTTAGCTCATACAACACAGTTTACTGAAATAGGATGGAAATATTTTATATTATAGCTCATACAAGACAGTTTACTGAAATAGGATGGAAATATTTTATATTTTAGCTCATACAAGACAGTTTACTGAAATAGGATGGAAATATTTTATATTATAGCTCATACAAGACAGTTTACTGAAATAGGATGGAAATATTTTATATTTTAGCTGATACAACACAGTTTACTAAAATAGGATGGAAATATTTTATATTATAGCTCATACAAGACAGTTTACTGAAATAGGATGGAAATATTTTATATTTTAGCTCATACAACACAGTTTACTGAAATAGGATGGAAATATTTTATATTTTAGCTCATACAACACAGTTTACTGAAATAGGATGGAAATATTTTATATTTTAGCTCATACAACACAGTTTACTGAAATAGGATGGAAATATTTACGTCATGGTGCTGGTGTAGGAAAATTAGATGATGGTGGAAGTTATGTAGCTTTAATTAGTCCTGATAATAAAGATTTAACTATTATTATTGAAACATTTGTAAGTATGATTTTAAGAATGAGTTTGATGCTACTTTTGTGATACACTCATTTGTTGACTAGGATTACTCCAGGTAAAATTTGTGTTGCAAAGTAAAAGGTGATACCTAGCTTTCTTTTCCAATTTAAATAAGCTAATTGACTCATTTCTTATTTTGGTTATGGTTGTGTTTTGAAAATGCATCTGTATATCTTTTTTCTCCTAATGAGTCACTGTTTTTTGATCATGTTCTTATGGACTTGGAATCATTTGCTTATTTCAGAGTCATGATCATTCAGCATGTTCAGGACAGTTTCCTAAATACAAAGTTTTAGATCAACAAGTTACTATTATTTTACATGGGAACTTGGTGAGTACCTTCAGGTAAAGAGATTTCAAGATTGCATTGTGGAAATGTTCAGGTGATTTTATCTCATGCTTTGCAAGTTAGAAATACCTTGGCGATTGGTAATTGAAAATGAGTATGCTTACATGTCCATTTTGCAAGCAGATCAAGAGTTAAAATTCCAACTTGTTATTTTTTTTATTAGCTTCACAATAAATTCAGTGTATCTTTTTGATGTGCTGACATAAGATAAATGTCAGAGAAAAGCTTACAGCCTGAAAATATTAACAAACTGTTTTAAGCAGATTTGAATGGGTTTGTTTAGTTCTGACTGTTAGCTGTCAGTATATACTAGATTGGACTGTTGTAGGTAAACATAACAGAGCTTCAAGTATGGCATAGTAAACCAAGCTACGACAACAACCAGAGTTCAGTTTACTTCATTAATGAAACACCATTACAGGTAGGCCATTTTAGTGGCCATTTTCATGAAAAATATTTTGGTTAGCAACATCCTAGTATTGACCTTGAACTTTCAAACCTTGGAATCTTGGAACCTCAAAATGATATTGATCATGAAGATTCTCTTACACCCATTTCGAAATATGAACCATTTCCATAAACCTACACATTTTTACCATTGTGATTGTAAAAACTGTAGGCAAGTTCATAAGGATGCACATTTGTTAATGCAGTATTGCACCTTTCCAAGATGACTTTACTTTGAATTAAAGGATAAAATGTAACAGCAGTATGTAAACTTCATTTCAGTTGGTGAACGGACAGGCAGCATTAACTGTACATGTAGATGAAATTTATACATTAACCACGTTAAAAACGGGAAGTAAGGGAGATTACCCTGCATCACCATCTTCTCAACCATTTCCGCTTCCTTATTCTGATGATTTTGAATGTAAGTTCCCATCATGTTAGCAGCTTAAATATTTGTATATTTAGTTTAGAATTGAATTTAGAGAAAATACTAATATTTGTTCAGAGGTGAAAACCTTAGTTCAGTTCACAGTTCAGAACACTTCTGAACAGTTCAATTTTCAGCTAGTTCTATTTGATAATATTTTTGGTTATTTCAGCCTATACTTTACATCAGGAACCATATAACCTAGTACCTCAAGTTGGTTCATATGAAGTATTGAAATCTGATGATAAAAACCATAGTCAGATTCTAAGACAAACAGTTTTAGAAGCTCCCATAAATTGGTGTCCAATTACTTTAGATTTTCCTCTAGCTATAATTGGCAATTTTAGTTGGTAAGTATGTTAGTAGTTGGCACAAAATTTATAATACAGATGGTGTATTTATTGTTATATATAATAGTTCTGATGTGATACATATATTGATAATACAAATGATGTATTTATTGTTATATATATATATAATAGTTCTGATGTGATACATATATTGATAATACAAATAGTGTATTTATTGTTATATATAATAGTTCTGATGTGATACATATATTGATAATACAAATGGTGTATTTATTGTTATATATAATAGGTCTGATATATATGTAGAAGTTGATACATGTATTGGTAATATTAACAACACAGATGGTGTATTCATTGCTGCAAGAATTATAAATCTCAGTTGTACAACATTTGAAGCTGATGGTGTTTATTTCTTCATTTTTCCATCTTCTAATACAATACAGTTATCAAAAGATTTAGGTGAGAACAACAGGATTACAAACCTCTTTCCCAGCATATAGTTTTTCTTAGTATTTATGAAGTTTTGAAGCGAATGACCCAGAGCTCACTTTGAACCCCTTAGTACTTTGGAGCCAAATTAAATCCCTTTATGGCTTTATCTTTTTATAGCACAAACTCAAGTGATATTTACTGGTAATTATAGTAATTTTAAAGAATGGAATACATTATCCCTAGCTGTTCAAGTAAGTTATACAAGCTTTCCATAAAATACCTTAGCATTTAGATTTGAACTAATTTTGAAAGGTGAATCCTAAAATATTTTTGCTAAAAAAAATCGCAGAGATTTAGGCCTAGTGGAAAGATTTCTTTTCAAGACATTAGAACACCTCTACTTTCTATTCATACAAGTATTAGCATTTTCATTTTCATAAATGAAAATAAGGGAATCCGTCTTTAAAGATTTTTTTACAATATCTTGGAATTTATATGTATTTATTTATTACTATTTATTAATCCCCTTTTATTGCCAAATTTTTAATTTGGCCTCAATAATATTATAGACATCACATATTGTATGGGCCTCATCTACCAGTTATTATTTTTTTCATTTCAGGATAATCTAGTCACTGCTATGATAAATGGTGATAAAGTGTTATCTCAAAATATAACAGGAATTGTGAAGAATGGTTTTGTTGGATTTGGAAACTCTAAGTTTGGACTAGCTGATTTTGATAATCTAAAAGTTATGACTCTAAATGATGGCTATAAAAGAATGAAAGAGCTCTCATATTCTAGTCAAAGAAATTCACCTAGCAAATTGTATTTTAAACCTAAATTTTAACACAATCTGAAATGCAATGTCCTATATTGCCTCAAATAATTGTTACAGGGCTGTTGAGTTTTTGTCATATTTTATGTTGTTTTGTATTGTTTTTTGATATATTTACACATTAAATTTTTATGTTTATACGTTGTTTCCTTTTTATCATTTTTTGACGAATTGTTCAGATTATTTTTTAACCGTGTCATGAGTTGTGGTCTGATTCCAAACGCATGACTTCCGGGTCAAAGGTCAGAGAATCATGTGATACTCCTCTAAACAAAACGAAAGAAGGGAATGTGAGTAAGAGTAAGGATACACTCTGTATTTTATCACATGAAAATGATGATGTCATCTATGGAATCATGCATAGTTTTAATATGCATGCTATGCTGTTTTATTGAAGCTGCAGAATACACGTTTGATGATTCTGTTGGTCTTGGAAGACAGTTTGATGGTATTGGTGGATTGAGTGGGGGTGGAGTAAGTAGTCTAGGCCTAATAATTATGCGAGGAAATAAGCACTTCAGTAGCGGCGTCAGCCTGCTTGAAGTTGTACTGTAAGAGGGCTAATTGTCTTGATAGTGGTAGGGGGTGATCAACTTAAGATTCCAAATGCAAATTGTTTTGGTGCATTCTGACTTATTTTGGGATGCAAAAAAATCATACATGTATAAGATATCTTAGAAATAAAGTGGGGGTACAAACCACATTTCTGGTGCGTCCACTGACAAAAGTGGCCAGTTGGCTTAGCTCATCAATGCTTAGTTTGCAAATTAAAAGAAAAAAAACCACATTACCAGTAATGACACCTTCCTAAAACCAAAATACACAGTTTTCGTATTTCTAATTAATATACTTGCTGATTTTCCTCAGATCACTGTGCTATAGACTTTTACATTATTTAATTACAGGCAACATCCAAATTATTGGTCAATTATCCAGAAGAACAAAGAAACCAAATTTTAGATTACTTATTCAAGGTAGGTAATTGAAAATTAGTGTATAAACCTTATTTTTCTTAGATATGTTTTGATTATTTTATAACTGTGTCTAAATTAATACCCCTGAGCTTGTGTCTCAAAATGGCACTGGTGTTACAAAGTGGCCAGTTTTTTAAGGGACATTGAGAATAACTACAAACAACAAAATAAATTAATAGCTAATAAATGCAAAGATAAATGTTCTGATACTTCTATGATTTCTTTCTTTCAGCCAAATTTTGGTGCCTCTTTACATATATTGAAAGTTGAAATTGGAGGTGATGCACAGAGCACAGGTACATAATTTTGTTTAATGAATTTTATTCATAGGCTAACCTATAACTTACCCAAGCAATTTCTATTTTTAATTCCAATTACCTCTTGGCATTGATGTTTACTAAGTTTTTGTTTTACTCAATTATAGATTTGTCCGATAAAAACTCATGAAAAATGTCTATCACATACTAAAACATAATGAGAACCCATGACTGTTTGATCTAGCCAAACAGACTTTTAATCAAAATCTAAATCAATCCCCAAGTAGAAATTTGACCATATTTAAGTAGAAAGCAAGGGCTAATATTCATTTTTGAAATTCAAAAATATTCACAGATGGAACAGAAGCCTCTCACATGCACAATAGTTGGGAAGAAAATTATGAAAGAGGTTATGAATGGTGGTTGATGGTTGAAGCTAAAAAGGTATGATTATAGCGTAATATCTCTTTATCAAGATCAAAGTACTATAGTAGACATCTTATTGTTTATCAGCAAATTGATACTTGAAGCTGATAGCGTCCTTTTATCTCAAGATGAATGGCCTTGATTTAGAATTTGAAGGACACTAAATTTTGTTACTACTAGAATAGTATCAGTAAATGCTGGTTTAATTTTTAGTGTTATATCTGATGTATAATAACTCAACTATTGGGAGCTCATATCTTTAATCATTTATTATTACATTGTAGGTAAACCAAACATCAGGTTTAAAATCTGAAAATTAATGTGGATATCTAAATTGAGATCTATAAATTGTTATAAGCTAATCTTTAGACACCTAGATCTTTTCTTATATTGTCTTTCTCCAATTTCTATATATTTGATACAATCTATTTGAAAAATCAAATATAAAAATTTACTATTTCAGAGAAATCCCAACATTAAACTATATGGGTTACCATGGGGATTTCCAGGATGGATTGGTGCTGGTACCAGAAGTCCTTATACTAATCCTACACAAACAGCAACTTATATTATAAAATGGATACAAGGAGCTAAAGAATATTATAATCTTACTATAGATTATATTGGGGTAAGTATCTATTGTAGGCTTACAGGCCTAGGGAAAGATCAAGGCCAAGAGGTTTGGCCAAGGACCAGCTGATAAATAGGATCCTTTTAAGACTAAGTTGTTATGTTATAAATGATTGTTTTTCTCTTTCTTGATATTAGATTATTTCAATATTGATACTGATATTTTATGTATTTTCAGATTTGGAATGAAAGACCATATGACGTTAACTATATAGTGGTAAATAATATTTAAAATAAGAGTCGTGCAATGCTAAAATAGTGTCAAAATGATAGCTAAATACAGTGGTGTAACCTATTTTCGTGGATATAAGGATTCAACACCGAATTTCGTCAAAGTTAAAAAAACGAAAAAAAAATTTTATGTCTTAGATGTTTCCTCAGATATTCAACAAAATAATAGAAATTGGTTTATGTCGATTTTCTTAATGAATCCTTCACTTTGACCCATATTTCATGAGCAACCAACTCGGGAACTGCGACAGAATGCGTCACCTATTTTCGTGTACAATGTTTGATCTATAAATAAGTCTAGAAAAACACATTGTATGGATACCGGGTGGTTTAATGAACTTCTCTCTTTTCAGATATTACGTAACATGTTGGATACAGCTGGTTTAAATCATGTACGCATTGTGGCATCTGACTCAGGATGGGGAATAGCTACAGATATATTAAAGAATGCAACCCTTAGTTCTTCAGTAGATTATATTGGGTAGGTTCTTTTTTGGTTTGACCCTTCTTTTACCATCTATGAATTGTAGTTATATATCACTGTAGTAATGGTTATGCCATGGTGGTCATGGGTTCTTATCTCAGTTGGCATGTGAAAGTCTGGTGATCTTGAATAAGTTATCTTTCCTCACTATTCTAGTCTAGTGTAAATGGGTACAGATAATCTGAGAAAGATCAATATCAAGAGGTTTGGTCAAGAACTAACTGGTAGAAAGGATCCTTGTGAACCTATGTATCCATTAAAAAAACAATTGGTTGTTTCTTTCAAAAATTGATCAGGTGGATAATACTTTCCCTGACTGAGGTAATTCTTGAACATTTTAAATCTTTGTAAAGGCATCATTTTCTTTCTAAAGATTATAATTAAATTCTGTTCTATTATATTGTAGATGTCATTATCCTGGTACTAACAGTGATCAGTATTCTGTACAAACTGGTAAACAATTATGGGCATCAGAAGATTATAGTACATTTAATGATAATGTTGGTGGAGGATGCTGGGCGAGGGTAAGTATATTATGTGCCAGTAGAAACCTCACATGAACATGAGATCTCGCTTTCAACTGTTAACGGTAGTTTGGTTTGCATGTGCCTTTAATTCAGATTTGATCCTAATGTCAGTGATGGAGGTTTGGGAGCTGAAATAGATGAGTGTCTAGTCATTGGGAGGCAAACTTTTGCACATCTTTTGAGAACTTTTCAGAATACTGGAATGAAGATTTCTTTTTTTATTCCAGATTTTGAATCAAAATTATGTTAATGGATACATGACCAGGTAAGAAAATGATATTTTTGATTAGAAATAATGGACTGTAAATTTGACAAATTAATATTAAATCAGTTAAAACCATTAAAAGCACTACTTTTAGTAACTCAGTGCTCTTGAATTAACTTTCCCACAAAAAATAAGCCCTATCAATAATAACTCAATTTTCCTAATATAAAATCCTGTGCCAGTGCCTTTGTTACTTTCAATCACCCTAATCCCTAATTTCAGTACGATATCATGGAATCTAATAGCCAGTTATTATAATAATTTACCATTTTATCGTGATGGTTTAATGACAGCTGTAGAACCGTGGTCTGGTAATTATATTATAGAATCACCAATATGGCTGGCTGGTAAGTACTGAAATAGGATGGAATATTTTATATAAGCTTAATGTAGCTCTGCCTTCAAGTCACTGACTAAGGATGATAGTTTCTTTTAATTGTAGATCACGTCACAGTTTACTATACTAGCTTTATATAGTAGCTCATAGAGTGATATAAACTGAAATAGGATGGAAATATTTTATATTATAGCTCATACAGTGATACAAACTGAAATAGGATGGAAATATTTTATATTTTAGCTCATACAACACAGTTTACTGAATTAGGATGGAAATATTTTATATTATAGCTCATACAATACAGTTTACTGAAATAGGATGGAAATATTTTATATTTTAGCTCATACAACACAGTTTACTGAAATAGGATGGAAATATTTTATATATTAGCTCATACAAGACAGTTTATTGAAATAGGATGAAAATATTTTATATTTTAGCTTATACAAGACAGTTTACTGAAATAGGATGGAAATATTTTATATTATAGCTCATACAACACAGTTTACTGAAATAGGATGGAAATATTTTATATTATAGCTCATACAACACAGTTTACTGAAATAGGATAGAAATATTTTATATTATAGCTCATACAAGACAGTTTACTGAAATAGGATGGAAATATTTTATATTTTAGCTCATACAACACAGTTTACTGAAATAGGATGGAAATATTTTATATTTTAGCTCATACAACACAGTTTACTGAAATAGGATGGAAATATTTTATATTTTAGCTCATACAACACAGTTTACTGAAATAGGATGGAAATATTTTATATTTTAGCTCATACAACACAGTTTACTGAAATAGGATGGAAATATTTTATATTTTAGCTCATACAACACAGTTTACTGAAATAGGATGGAAATATTTACGTCATGGTGCTGGTGTAGGAAAATTAGATGATGGTGGAAGTTATGTAGCTTTAATTAGTCCTGATAATAAAGATTTAACAATTATTATTGAAACATTTGTAAGTTTAATTTTTAAGATGTTTATGATGCCAGCTTTTTCTCCTCAATGAGCCAAATTAGGTCAAATTTGATTTGTGATTTTAATGATTTGAGTTTTTGAGACCAGTGTTTTGATTGGTTGTACCTAACTAAGATGCATCAAATTGTGGTTGTTTAGATTTATTAAGACATTCACCATTTTGTTTTTCAGAGTCATGATCATTCATTATGTATTAGACCAGCATTACCTAAATATACAGTCAAAGATCAACAAGTTACTATTAATTTAAAGGGAAATTTTGTAAGTACATTTGATAGTTCTTTCCATCATCTAGAAGATGGTTGCCAAGGGTTACATCATATTGGATTTATTTTTCTGAATTAACGGCAATACTTCTCTCCATCTTGCATGAAGAGAGCTCAAAAATGTAAATTTTCATTAATATGATTTTTCATTTTCATAATTTTTCATATAAGGCTTAAAAGTTGTCTATAATATGTTTATGGTACTATTTCAGGCTAACATTAAAGAATTACAAGTATGGTATAGTAAACCTAGTTATGATAATAGTACTTCTACTTTCTTTATACAACAAAAACCTCTGATGGTGAGTCATAGTAAAACAGATTTAGTACTGGCAGTCAACAAAACCGTCTGGATGAATATAGCTCAAATAAATGGTTGGCAAAGCTCATCCACATCTGCAATTGCATTTTTAAAAAGTAACAAAAGTGTATTTGGTCTCAATTAACCAGACCTTCATTGTCAATTTATCTCACAAAAAATGGGCCTACTAGATCTACCTTACTAAGCTTTAATCTAAAACCACTATTTTTTCTTAGGTCGAAAATGGGGAGGCTACATTAACTGTACATGTAGATGAAATTTATACATTAACCACATTAAAGACAGGAAGTAAGGGAGATTACCCTGCATCACCATCTTCTCAACCATTTCCACTTCCTTATTCTGATGATTTTGAATGTAAGTTGTTTTGTTGCAGTATTTTATGGTCTTTTTGCATGAGGTAAAGTGCATGTATGAATTCTTAAAGGTAGATTTCCATTAAGTAAGAATTGTTCATACAGGAATAAATTCATGACCATATTTTGGAAATAATGCCAAAAAGAAGAACTGCAAAATATCCCAGAGATGAATTTTGAAGGAGTCAGTGTCTAAAGAAAACACTGCCCTTATCTCATGTGTAAATAGTTGAGTTGCTTTCTCTTGTCAATCGCCTAAAGGAAACAATTTTCTCTAGTAAGTTTTTTACTAGGTCTGCTCTTATTTTAACAGCATACAATTGGCATCAAGAACCCAATAACCTAGCTCAACAAACTGGATCTTATGAAGTGTTTAATGCCAATGATTCTACTCATGGTCAAATAATACGTCAATTAGTATTAGATCAACCAGTATACTGGTGTGGTGCTGAAAAATTAAACAGATCACTCAGTGTGATTGGTGATCCAGAATGGTAAGCCATTTCTGATGAAATTTTATTATGATAGTTTATAATCACCTTACTAATCACCCACTTACCCTTTCCTAATGTTAGAATGCTTTCACAAGATCCATTTGCTTGAGCTTGGTTTCTGGTTCTTAATTCATGAGTAGATGCAGATCCAAAATGGTGGTCAATGCAATGAAAAAAATAAAAAATTTGGGGTAAACTTATGCAAAACATCAAGATTTTCCAAAAAAAATTCTGATACACTACGCGTGATTTTTGTGATCTGTCATCTAAGATTAAGTATCTATAACCTCTAAATTATTTCTGTCCTAGCATATTCACCAAGTATGGAACCTTTTAACCTTGTTCCTCAAACAGGATCATTCGAAATAATCAAAACACTGGACCAAAATCACAGCCAAGTTATACGACAAACTGTTCTTCAAGTTCCTTTAGAATGGTGTCCTATCAACTTAGATTTCCCCATAGCAGTCATTGGCAACTCTAGTTGGTAGGTTGGACCCTTATTTAATAGTGTCATGATTTTAACCAATTAATGTGGATCTTCATTGCCTTAATCAATCTGATTGTAATCAACAGGCAAAATAATGTTGTTCTCTATGGGGTGATCTCTAAGATATGTAGATGATTACTCATTGTGGTGTATTTGGCACTGTGCTAAATTGGAGGGTACTTTCTCTAAATGCCTTTTGGGTCTGATGGGAATGTCTGGCTGTAATTTTGGTCTGTCCCTAAAGCAGTTAGTTTCAGTTGGAGGTTTGATTTGAATCTTGGCCTCAACTTTGGATTTACCCTTTGATTTTAATTTCCCTACTCAGCCCTGACGTCAGGAATAAATTGGTGCTGGGGCTCAGATTTTGTACTTTGAAGAATTGAAGGCCCACACAGAACTCATTTCTGACAATTTTGAGGTGCCAAGAACGTATCAGAATCTATATCTCTGCTGAGGAATATTTTGACTCTAGTCAAGTCTTTGTTCTTGTCCTTGATGAACTTGCTTACTTTGTTTTAATTAGTTTCAGCAGAGGCTTTTCATGTTTTAAAACTTTGCAGTAGGCATTTTATTGCTTAAATACAGGTTTTTTGTTAATTTTGGTTTTGAAGTTTGTAATTGGATTGAATTGGACAACAGAAATAAATATGATGCTATATCAGCCTGTAGTCAGGCTTCTTTCAGAAATTGAAAAATCATTAAGATAAGAATGCTACAAACTGTGATTGGTTTGCAGTCAGATATGAAAATATAAGTTAGGAAAAATTTGATATATGTTTATTACAGGTCTGATATATATATAGAAGCAGAGACGCATATTGGTGACGTCAACAATACAGATGGTGTATTTATAGCAGCTAGAATTAGAAATGGAGGCTGTCAAACATTCGAAGCTGATGGAATATTTTTCTTTGTATATCCAGCATCAAATAAAATAGTATTATCTAGAGATTTAGGTACGTTTTAGAATACAAGATTCAAATAAATGATTTACAATAGTTTAGTATGGTAGTGAAAATATTATTATGATTCCATTCAGAAATGTAATTTCAACAGTGTTTCTTCTGTGTTTGTTCAGGGATCAGAAAGATGCCATAGGAGACAATTTAGTATTAGTCATAGTATAAGGTAGACCTATTTTGTCTCTGCAAGAACATTGTCTTGGATAAATGTGCTTAAATTTTGTTGAGAAACTATTGGTCTGCTATTTTCTGCCCCTACCGACATGTCCTTTCCAAGGTTTCTTTTCATATAAAATTTTGAGATCTATTTTCAGCTCTTACTCAAGTGATATTTACTGGTAAATATAATAATTTTAAAGAGTGGAATACATTATCTATGGCTTTACATGTAAGTTTAATTTTTTTGTCTATGTATTAACAATATTATTTCTTGTGATGAAAAGCAAAAACGAGGCTATTTTGCAATCAAATTTAAAATGAGGCAAGGAGGGCCTGGATTGATATAAACTATATAATTGATAAAAAAGACAATCCTAGAGGTTGGTTGTCATTTCATAGGTAAGACATATATAGCACTTAGTGGATTTGGGCAACCCTTTGTAATATGTAATAGATCCCTCCAGACTCACAAAATTAGTTCTAATTCTGATTGACTATACCCAAAGAGAAACCTACAAAGTATGATATCCTGTTTCAGATTTTAGATATCTGACCTAATATTAAAAGCTCTCAGCCCACAACTTTTGATTTTGACAATTTATTTTTTCAGAGTAATCTTGTAACAGCCATGATAAATGGAGAAAAAGTTCTGTCTCAAAGTGTATCTAGCGTTGATCAAGGTTTCGCTGGTTTAGGAACATCAGAGTTTGGCCTAGCTGATTTTGATAACTTGAAAATTATGGTATTAAGTGATGGGTTAGAGAGAATGAAAGAATTGGCCAATTTAAGGAAGGGAGATAATAAATTATATTTTAAACCTGGTAGAGTGTAGAAAATGACTAAAAATATGTTTCACACCATTCCTAAATTCACAAACGAATTAGTTTTTCAGAAATATTTATATGCTCGTTAATATATGAAATTATTTTGTTGTTGACCCTTTTGGTCCTTCGTCAATTGGCCTCTTACTGAAAAAAGAGGCCAGTTTTGATAAAAATTTGCCAAAACATGGTATTTGTTTTTTCATTAACTTGACTTATCGTAACTTAAAAACTTTCTTGATTTGTTTGATAAAGAATATTTGGTTTAGTGATGTTGCCTTGCGAAAATTGGTTGGTGACGGAAATAGTCCTCAGTTTTAATGAGACTTTGTTTATACCTCGTTTGAATTCTACTCTTGATTTTGGTTGAACAGTTTTCAGTTCTTGACCTCAACACACAAACATGGACTTTTGAACTTAATGGACAAAAACTGTTTTGAAATTTGGTACTTTTTTTCAATTTCAACCATTGGCAGTTAAATATTTGAATTTCACTGTTAAGACATGATTTGTCATGTTCTATAGTTTCACGATGTTTTGCTCTTATGACTACTGCCATGCCAGTGTAAAGTCTTTTATTTATGTTTCTACACACTATCTACATTTCTATGTATGAACATGCTTCTTTGTTAATTTTTAGTTGATAAATATTTTTGTATATTATATTTGTTGTTAAACTATTGAATTCATCTGTAATAATTGCAGAAATCAATTTGAAAAATGAAACCATACTTTCTATAAAAAGACTAAAGCTTATATCATGCTGTTGACCCATGTTTCAGATAAACATATCCTCATCAGGTAGGGTATAGAAATTGGGGTTGGCTTTTGAAAGTCATATGTAAGCCAACTCACTAAAACTATGCAAATCAACATGTAAATCTTTCAGCCATCAAATCTTTCTATCTGTCAAATCAACATGTCAATCTTTCTATCAAATCATCATGTTGCTTTTTCTGTCAAATCAACATGTCAATCTTTCTGTCAAATCATCATGATGTGATGTCAAAAAAACAGGTCGATCAATCTGTGAAATCAACATGTCAATTTTTCTGTCAAGTCAACTCGCCAATTATTCTGTCAAATCAACATGGCAATCTTTCTGTCAAGACAGACAATAAAAACTCCAATAATTGAGAAATTATACTATTATTATCATTATTATGCAGAAATACAAATAAAACAATCTTTAACAAATAAATAAATCTCAATTAATAATAATATTAAAATCTTACAAAAGAAGCAAAAACCCAAGGCAATAAAGTAATATGACTCCATCATTAACAATAATACCATGTAGAATTTAAATATATACCTGTAATAAAACTCTGATTTTCTTTAATACCACAACTATTTCATTTTATATCAGAACTATAATGAACTATTTCCTTTTATAACAGTACTATTTCCTTTTATACTTGAACTATTTCCTTTTATAACAGTACTATTTCCTTTTATACTAGAACTATTTCAGTTCAGTTCAGTTAAATAAGCACCAGATCTCTTTATACTACAACTATTTCCTTTTATTACAGTACTATTTCAGTTCAGTTAAATAAGTACCATATCTCTTTATACTAGAACTATATCCTTTTATACAAGAACTATTTCCTTTTATATCAGTATTATTTCCCTTTATAACATAGCAATTTTCTTTTATACCAAGTTTCAAAATAGTATGATAATTGCAACCTGTGCATAATATTAAGAATATCCAAACCAAAATATTATTATACTATGTTAGTATTCTTGTTAAAGTTGAATCAATCTAAGTATATCATTAGTATTTGAAGATGATATTGCAATTCACATAGACATCACTATTGAAGTAATAAGCCAGTAAATTCTTATGGTATATCTAAAGGAAATTGTCAACTAGAAATATGATGTTAATTTAAATTAATTTTGCTTCAAAATTTGGAGATTTTCTATCCAAAAGCTTTCACAGGTATATAACAAATCATTCAAAACAAACAATAGTTAAAAATAAAAATTATCATTTCATCAAATAATCAAATCAAATACCCTGTTATTAGAAATACCTAATTATTTATATAGATATATAACTATTTGATTTTAAAACATATTGTTTTAGACCTTACTTTAAACCAAACTTTCCAAAAATGTAAAATTTTTTCCTGAATGGTTAGTAAAGTTGAGGGCACACGAGCGGTCTCGGTCGGAGATTTTTGTCTCTGACTCGAATCTTGAGTAAAATCTCACGTGTGCCTGTGCTTCCACAAAAAGATTATCGTGTCCCTGACAGGATTTGTAATATCAAACAAGTTTGATAATTATCTCCGATAGTTTTATCGTCTGCAAGACGACCATCACCATCCAATCAGATTCCTTTTCTTTTCAATTGCATGCTCCACACGTGATTATCAACAAGGTGGAAAACGACCGACTGGAGATTTTTGTCTCCTTGCGTGCCCATGCCAGTCGTTGAAACTCAAGACAAGACTCTAATCGGCGACAAAATTCTCCGACCAAGACCACTCGTGTGCCCACACCTTTAGATGCCTTGTGATCATTGATCATCCTGAAAATATACAGACAATGGAATGGTGTTAAATGATGCTGTACATGTCCTATAACCATAAAAAAACACAATCCCTTCAAAATTAATGAGAAAACTGACCAAAGATGATCAAAAACAGCATTTGAAATGATGTACATATCAATTTAGGCTATTTTAAAGATAATACTTTGCATTCAAAGGGGATATCTCCAGCAACCTGAGATTGAGCTATGACAATTTGTGACTTTCAGAATATCTATATAGTTTCAAGTGTACAATATGTATATAAGTACCCAAGAGAATTATGCTAAGGTCAATAAGTACATATATCAACATGGTAATGAAATACTGTATATCAAGATTTTTGTGTCATGAAATCCTTGCAAATTGTCATGTGGAACATTTTAGAGTTCTTGCACTGAAATCATATCAAATTGCTGATATTGTAATATAATCAACAACATAAGATATATTTGTAAAAAATTTCTTGTTTTACAGTACGATTCCTTTACAGAGAATAATATTGTAACATTTAACATGTATATTTCCTTTTTCATACTTTATTTGGAATAATTAGAACTTGAAAGCAAGTTGAAACAGTCGAAGTAAATGAATCAACTTAGTACTGGTTAATTAGTTATACTACCTCTTACAATGACCAAGAAATTGAAATTTTTAAACTTGGCATAAATGAGTCTTTGGTTATCAGTGGAATTACTTGGTGTCATAACTATACAACAGAATCCCTCTATAATCCAATAAATCCATAAACTAAGTAATAATTCTTTAAACTAAGTAATTTTGAAACATGCCAAGAAGCGTGTTTCAATAATTATATAGTTTTAATGTATATAATATTATGTAGAGATTCTATTCTTTAGTCATGACACCTGGTAAATCTAACTGATGAATATATACTCTTGTTAACCAAGTTTAAATCTGATGTCCATTCTAAGAGGTAGTATTCTTTTAAGAACTAATATCATTAAGTAGCTGTACAACATTTCTTAAAGTGGTTGAGGCATTACATTTTGGAAATTTGGCAAATATTTTTAGAATCTTCTGTTTATTATGGAAATAAAGCCAGTTGTGTGATGAAATATATTATTAATAGCAATATATTTAAGTATATTTTAGGGTAAAACTGAAGTGATTGGATATAAAACAATAGGTTATTAAGTAGACATTAAAATATTGGAGATGAAGAAAGTAAAGTTTCATCATCAGGTAAAATAAAATCGTCTTTTTTATCAGGAATACTTGATTTCGAGTCTGTCGAATTACACTTTTTCTCCACATTATTTACTTCTCGCACCTCAGAATCACACACTTTTGCACTTTTGCTTCTATCTTTCGATATCGTGTCCTTTTTGTCTTCCTTTGTTAAAGCTTCTTTTTTATCCTCACGCGACAAGGAACGTCTTGTTTGGGGTTGTCCAGAACGTGTTTTGGCTCTTTGAGTTTTGGCACGCTCTATTTTCGTTTCCGTGGAAACATCATGTTT